CGATTGAATATTTTGCACTGCATAAGGCAATGCAACATACAAGCAGTCTGCCAAGCGGGATGCACAGTACATTCTGGGAAGACTTCCTATAGGAAACTGCCCCCAATTTAAGCATTAGACATACGAAGAAAACCTTGAAAATTCCACATGGTCAACCCTTCATTGAGACAAAAATGTCAACCAATTATCAGTGTTCAGTTGTTTTATTCACATAGCCACTGGTGGACTCTGTTGGAGAGATATCAGCAGTTAGCATTCCTTATCATGTTACAGAGTCGCTGTTTAAAAAAATTGGAAAACAGCGGTTTAGACAACAGGCTTATATATTCTATTTACACAATACACTAACTAACTATTGCTTAACAATTTGTAGCAATTTTTTGTGCCATCATAATTAACATTTTTATGTAATAATTATATAAGATTCTTGCTGACTAAATGAATATGATCTTAAATGCATTAGAAACATAATTACAAGTGAAATAAAGATATTTTTATTTCACTTGTAATGGCCAGGATGATGATTTTAAATACATTTCATCATAATACTCATTAATTAACTTATTTCAAAAGCAAAGAAAACAGAAAATTAAAAACCATTATAAGAAATGAAATAGATTAAAAATCTCATTAAATTTTTATTTACATTGATATTTTTTAACATAAGAAATAAAATTGTTGTAAATTATTAAAAAGTTTTATGAATCTTTATTTCTAATTAAATTAGAATATTAAAACAGAAAAACTCATACTTTAAAATATTTTAATTTTTATTATATAATTTCTAAATATAAAAAATACTTTTGTATTAAAAAAATATTTAAAAAAAAAACACTATACAATTTCATGCTCTCATGAAAAAACAGATATAAAATTGAGATAAAGAGAAAATAAGTGAATAATATGATGGAATCTTAAGAATTCATTATGTACTTATGAAAGAAATGATGTATACAACATAACATAAAAAATCAAAGATTTAAGCTAAACATATTTGCTTTACTCTTATATTCCTATTACCAATTTAATGACAATTTTTGCAATAAAAAGAAATTAGTAAGATTGCAACAAATACCAGGAGAAATATATATAAGACAAAAATGAAAATGGAAGCATTCTGAAAATTTCATTTAAGAAAGATATATTTGCACATTACAAAAACTCCTTTCTCAAATTTTTTTTATCATAGGTATACAGGATGCATGGAAATAAAACTGATGAACAGACTTGACACCGAATTAGTACAATTAATAAATACACACTGTCTGCAGACGTTAATATAGTTTAATCTGATGTACACAAGTACAGTAGAACCTCGATTATCCGGACTAATTGGGGATGAAGGTAGTCCGGATAAGGAAAAATCCGGATAATCGAAACAAATACTTTAATTTGTCTTTTAATGATAATACAACACGTTTTCTTTTCGATGATATATCGGTAATATTAAAAGTAAATACTGTATTTAAATCGTGATCAAATTT